ATCGGTTTGACCTAAAACCGTATTGGCAATCAGAGAGGATTTTATTTTTTCAATGAATGTATCTAATCTGTTATTAAAGAGTTTTTCCAGAATTTTTGAAAATTGTGACAACAGAGAAATCGGTCTATAATTTGTGAAGTTGTGCTTATCACCAGATTTATACAGTGGAATAACCTTTGCTATTTTCATATTATTGGGGAACTGCCCAAGTCTAAACGACATGTTAAAAATATGGGTTAATGGTTTGCATATCCCCTCCTTCGACTTTTAGTCGATAATTAAAAAATAAAACTGCTATTCTATCATGTTTAAGACTGTTCAAACAAGTGTATTCTCCCACACAGAATTAGAAGTCAGTTAAATAATACAACATTTCTAATCATCTTTCTCTCCATTTCTGGGGGGACCACTGGCTCCAAGTCTGAAATACAAGCCGAGTGCTTTGCTAACCAAAAGACTGTAATCACATTATTTACTGTCTGAGTGTGGAGATAATTACATTCCACTTCAGTTAGATAATAACCAGCTCTGATCACCCAGGCACAGAGACCAGCCCCATCAGGAGGAACCCAGCAGGCAATGTGGCGCGGCCCATGGTTCAGAGGCTGCCAGAGCCTCAGGATGTGTTGGACTGCCTGGAGCTCAGCACCTTTGACACTCCTCCTTACTACTCCACCTCCTCCGAGAGCTTCAGGAACACCATTGAAGGTGTGCAGTTATGCGTCATGGGTCAGAATTAAAACTGCGCTTAAGATTTAACATCAACCAAAAGGGGATTGTTCAGGTTGAGTCAGCCTCAGCTCACACTGCCAGTACAGTGTGACTGCACAGACACAAAGGCAGAACCACATACACACACTAGTTCCTCTGCCCACGTACACATATGGCTAGCTCCAACACAGTATTTGTTGTTCCTACTTTTGGTAAATCAGTGCTTTCAGTTAATAGCTCTGCTGTTGTGCATCTTCTAGGCTACAGTGCCCCCCAGGGGGCATACGACCCGGTGATCCGCAGCCTCCACAACCTGGCCCACCTCTTCCTCAATGGGACGGGTGGACAGACTCACCTCTCACCCAATGATCCCATCTTTGTCCTTCTGCACACCTTCACTGATGCAATCTTTGACGAGTGGCTCCGCAGACATCAGCCAGGTACACACAGACTGAACTAGATGCAAGTACTTAAACATACAGTAACTCAATGTGAAGGAGGAAACTTTAATTTTCATCCTGCAGGTGAAATAGTGTACCCTGAGGAGAACGCTCCTATCGGGCACAACCGCAGGTTCAACATGGTTCCTTTCTGGCCCCCTGTCACCAATGCTGAGATGTTTGTCTCTGCTCCTGAAAACCTGGGATACTCCTACGAGGTCCAGTGGCCAGGTGAGCAGCAGAACACATGCACACACATGCCCACTTTAAACCCCATTAACCCCTGATGACCTTCCCTTCCCCCACCCATAGCTCGTACCTACACCCTGTCTGAGATCATCACCATAGCCATTGTTGCAGCAGTACTGGTAATAGCAGTGTTGGGTGGCGCCATCGCCTGTGCTGTGCGTGCTCATTCCTACCACTCAGCTGAGGCGCTGGAGCCGCTGCTCAGAGAGGCTTTTCGATGCTACTCTGAAGACGACCAGAGGTTGGACAAATCACTGTCTGCTGTCTAAAGCCATGCCTTTCAAGAAAGGCCTTAAAATGTTCATGTATTTATTCTGCTTTTCTTAATACCCCTATTTCTACTAATAAAGTTGAAATGGATTCAAACTCAGAGTGGGTGTGTCTGTGTTGCTGCATTTTGCTATAAAGTGCAGGGCTGGCTCAGACTGGCGGATCTTTTGTTTCACATACTGTACATCCTAATGTGTGATCATCCGGGGCCATGCCTCTCAATCAAACCTATGTCATTATACAAGCAAAACTTAAAGGTCATGGATCAGAAAGCAGTTAAATGGCATCATTGTCAAATTATTCAAAAACATAATTTGCTAACTTTTGATAGCCTAACTTTGTAAAGTTTTCATTTATCAAAGCAATACTCAAGTGCATAAATGGCCTTGCCCCTGGTGTTATAACTTATTCAGAGTGCCATGTTCAAAGGTGCAGAACCACTTTTGATCGGCCATGTTTCTCAGTAAAATGCTCACAAACTATGGGACACTTTCCCAGTAGATTTAAAATAACAATCAGAATTCACAAAGGTGAAACAGTGGCTTAAACAACAGCAAAGATGTGACGAGTGTGGCCGGTTTGTTACACTAGGTTTTACTTGTCCTGGTTTAAAGTGGTTTTGTCTGTTAAGCTATTTGTTCTTGGATGTTT